CGGGAAAAAAAAAAAAAAAAAAAAAAGATGGGCCCGGCGCGGGCACACAGTAGGTGCTTGTCGCTGTAAAGCACGTAAACGAAGTCAGTGCTTTCCTCCGCCTGCCAAAGTGAACCTCTAGAGGTAGGGGCCTGGCGTGCTCACCCCTAGCAGGGAAGGACGCCAGCACATAGTAGGTGGTTTATAAGCGTATGCAGAGTAGTAGATGGCGGTGGTCTGCAGACCTGCCCGTCTCTCCTGGCCGACTGTGGGCCCCGGAAGGGCTGGAATTGTCTCCTTTCTGGGTCCACAGTGCCGGGCGCGCCGTGGGTGTCCAGGAGAAGGGGAAGCATCAGTGGCTTCACGGCATTCCAAATCTGTTGTCCTGATTCTACCCCCTCCCTCTCCCGCTGTCCGCCCCGCCGACTGGCACACACGGGCCACACAGGGTTAACTGTCTCGCTCAGCCTCATCTGGTTTGGTTTAGAGTGAAACTTCCCGGAGGAGGATGAGAGGAGGGGTGGCAGGCCCGCCTGTTTTTCCTGGCTTCCCGCCCTAGCCCATCTCGCCAGCTCAGCAGAAAACAGCTCGTTCTCTGGCCCTGTTCCAGCCTCTAAGCTGCGGTTCTGCCTTTAAAACGCGGGTAGTGTTGCAGCCAAGCGCGGGGCTTTTCCCCCTGAAATACAGACACTGTTAATAATTAATGAGGCCCTGGGGCCCCTGGAGGGGCATGGGGAGAGACCAGGCAGCACGTGGGATGGGGACGGCGTGGGGGACAGATGTGGATGTCCCCAGAGGGGCATGTGGCCCCGTCACCCCCCCACGGCAAGTGTCCTTGGCAGCGGGGCCACTAAGCCTGGCGTCCCTTTTCCAAGAGGCTCCCAAAGTCTTCCACTGTTCCTCCCCCACCCAGCGTCCTCCCCAGAAACTCCCCAGGGGGTGGGCACGGGCCCGAGGAGCCTCCTTCCCTCCCACCCGCCCTGTCTGGGCATCAGGTGCCTCTGGCCGAGCTCTTTCTGGGGAAGGTGGGTGCTGGCGTGGGGGCCCCTGGAGGCTGGTCCTTGCTGAGAAGGGCTTGTTGGCGCTCAGACCTGCTCCCAGCTCAGGAGCGGCTTCACCTTTGGCGCTCCTGCAGCCAGAGGCATTGCTGGTACTCAGATCTCTTCTCGTAGCCCTTCTCCCTGCTTAAAATCCTACTGTGGCTCCGTCTTGCACTGGAGAAAGCTCACCACGTGTTGTAGCTTCCCCACGAAGCCCTGTTCAGCCTGCCCCAGCCCGGCCACTGTCCCGCCACTGGACCTTCATCCTGGATCTCCACCCTGGGGGTCTCCTGCCGTGGCAGCCTCAGGGGGATGGGGCAGTGAGCCCGGTCCCTTCCCCGGGGGGCCGCCGGGCGCCAGGACGGAGGGTGGGAGGGCCCGCCCGCCCCTCACGCGTCTCCTGTCCCGCAGGTTTGCCAAGCTGCTGCTTCGTCTGCCGGCCCTGCGCTCCATCGGCCTCAAGTGCCTGGAACACCTCTTCTTTTTCAAACTCATCGGGGACACGCCCATCGACACCTTCCTCATGGAGATGCTGGAAGCCCCGCACCAAATGACTTAGGCCCGTGGCCGTTCTTCGCACGCGCTGGTCTGGCCGCCCCGCCCGGCTGCCAGCAGCTCTTCTCAGCCGAGCCTGTCCCGCCCCTCCTCTGCCTGGCTGTTTGGACTTGGGGGCGTGGCCTGTCACTGCTAAGCCTGAGATGTGCTGCCACCCTCCTTATTTTCAGTACTAGACTGGACCGGGCAGTGGCCATGCTGGGGTGGCAGCCGGAGTGGCAGGAACTGGTGTGAGCCCCGGGGGAACCCGGGCGGCTCACGGGGTCTCAGGCCCCCGCCCCCGGAGCTACAGCGGTCAGAGGGTGGCTTTGTTCCGTCACTGTTTTGTTGTCGCGAGGTCCTCTGTTTGCAGGGATCCCTCTGCCTCCTCTGTGTGCTGGCAGCCTGCCAGCCCGGCCTCACCCACAATCGGGAGGAGGGGACAGGTGGGGGGGTTGGCATTTCATTGCAAAAGACTCCACCTGCCCCCTGGGAAGACGGGAGGGGCTCTGGGGCAAGCAGCCTTGTCTCCCCTCAGAATGAAGGGTGAGCAACCCCTGTTTCCAAAGATGACTTTCAGCTTTGTCCCCGAGCCAGTCAGAACAGAAGCTGACCTCTGTGCAGGGTTTTGGGGCCACCCCAAGGCTGCAGGGATTGGAGTCGCCTGCCCACCCCACCCCACCTCATTCCTCTCTTTGCATCGTCCTGGTTTCAGCTTCTTGTCCCACATGGTCCTGTCCAGACCTGGGTGACCAACCCCCCCACACCCCAAAATCTTCCAGTCTTTGCCCAGGGCCAAGGCTGACCCCAGTCCCCAGTCCTGGAGGGCTAGCCTGGTCTCTGGCCCTCCTGGAAGCACTGGAGGGCCATGCCGACCTGGGCTCTGCTGACCTCTCAAGGGCAGAGGTCACCACCGAGGAGGCCCACAGGGATGGGAGGAGGGGAGAGTCACTTTCCCCAGAGGGTCCTCGGGCAGCTGTGCACGTTGAAGGAGGGACTTGTGGGCGTGTGGCTCTGGGTAGAGAGGCCCCTTCGCTGGCTGTCCTGTCCAGAGGACTCTTGGGGTCAGGAACCGTTGAGTGCCAGCACCCTTGGGCCGGGGCTGGATGCCCCTCGGGGACAGCCAGCCCAGCTGTTGTCTTGGCCGGCTGATGGAGCCCTTTGTGGGAGCTCCATCAGCACCTGCTCTGGTTGAGGGCACCCGCCCCTGAACCTTTCACCCAACCCAGGCAGGCAGGCCCTCTGCCCCTGGGGCGGGGGCGGGGGGCAGGGTCTCTCAGGTTGAACTGGCCTCTTTTGCACTGTAATGCCCTCCCTTTGGTCTGAGTACTTTCCATCTGCATGCCTCGCGTACTCCATGAACCCAGCATTTGTTGGTCGGGGGGAGGGGCCTGAACCGGGCTGGGGGGCCGGGGGGCCGGGGGGAGGGGTTGGGGAAGAGAGTCCCCTCCCCCCGCGTGTGTTCCCCCGGGTGCTGCAAGGGTGCCCCTGGGGCTGGAAGGGGAGACGCTGGCCTCCAGGCCCCTAGGGAGGAGGGGGTCCATTCTTTGCCCTCCAGGGTCCGGCCCGAGCCAAGCGTGAGGCACCTGGGCAGAGGATGTGGAAGCTTCCACAAACACGTCCTTTCTCTGGCACCCCACCCCGCCCTTAACGTGGTGGCCCAGGCGAGGCGTCCCCTGCCGCACAGGCACCCCCAGCCCCGTCCACCGTCTGAGGCAGAGATGGGGCGAGCCCACGCCTGCCTAGTTGTCCGTCTTCCCAGACTCTTCCTGCAAGTCTTGGCAGCCTTTGGGGGCATACTCGTGTCAGGCAGAGGGACGCCGGCACCCTCAGGGGCCTCCCTCTGGGACCCCCTCCCCCTGGGAACATAGACCCCGCCCCCCGGCCCACCACCCTGGTGCCCTTCTGCAGCCAGATGCACCCTGTCCACGCCCAGCCCCCTCCCGCTCCCCTGGACCCCTCGGGAACGTGGTGGCTCCAGTGGGAAAAACCCAGGATGGGGCGCTTTGCTGGGGGGTCGGCCTCGTGGGCTGGCTGCCCGTAAAGCACTGAGGTCCCCAGGCCACCCCCTCCCAAAGCCAGAAACTCCCCGGCCCCTCGCAGCTCAGCCTTCCGTGGCCCCGCCGGCACGGCAGCATCTCGGGCTCTTGGGGGCTGCCCTTTCATCTGCTCTTCGGTCCGCTGTCATCGATGTCGTCATGCGTGCTGTTTGTTTGAAAGATGATGGTGGGGAAACGGCACATTACTCAGTAGAGAGGTAGGATTTTTATTTAACCAGACCTTCAGTAGCATTTACCAATCTGGTTCAACTAAGGTGATTTTTTTCGTAATTATTATTATTATTATTATTATTTTGGTGGGACAATCTTTAATTTTCTAAAGATAGCACTAACATCAGCTCATTAGCCATCCTGTGCCCGTCCCCACCTGCTGGACGCTTCCGGCACGTCCCCTTCCTGCTTGGACATCAGATGGGCCTCCCGAGGCCGAGGAGTGAAGACGACCACGCCCCGGGTTTGGAAGGTGTTGGCAAAGCCAGACTCCGGCTCGTCCCCCGTCAGGCGTCTCCTTGGAAGCTGGCCTGCCCCCCGGGGACGTCCGCCCAGATGACTCCCGGGTCAGCGCCTGGCCCTCTCGTCCCCTGGGGGGGAAGACGGCGCCACACTCGCCGTGTTCCGGAAGGATTCGGGCTGGCAGGCCAGTGGCCAGTGCCGGAGACCATGCCGAGTTTCCTCCACCGGCTGGAACGTGCAGCCAGTGGGTAATCAGCTGATGTTGTCCCCATCACGGAATTCGGTCCCTGCCCACGCAGGTGTGTGGTGTACAATGTACATGCTGTACAGAGACCCTGTGTGCACAGACCTGCTTGCCATCCACACACACGTACCAGTTACCAGCGTTTTCTGTTTATTTTTAATCAAGACTTTCCTCCCCCCCCACCCCCACCCCCCGTTTTCCTACAGATTTGCTTCGTGTAAGCAAGTACGTAAGGACCCCTCCTTTGGTGAAATCCGGGTTCGAATGGATATCTCGTGGCAAGGAGATGCATCTATTTTAAGATGCTTTGGAGCAAACAGGTTTAGCCGTTCCCAGTCCTTAGAATGCCTTAGCCGGGATGCGTAGCTCACACTTAGAGAGGATGACAAATACATACAGAGAAAAGAGATGTCTAAAGCCTCGGGAAAGGTAGAAAAAAAATCTATTTTTGTACAAATGTAATTTTATCCCTCGTGTATACTTGGAGGATGTGGCGGGGAGGGGGGACTTGTTTTGTTTCTGCTTCTGTTGAGGTGAAAGCTTTCTGAGTCAACGCTGGCACGCAAGGTGGAACGGAGGAGGGAGCTCTCGGGACGGGGCACGGGCTTCAGACGAAACCGCTGCACACAGATGTTTTCTTTCTGGGGCAGGAAGGTGGGCCTGAAACTTTCAAGGGTTTTCTTCCCCTTTCGAGTAATTTTTAAGCCTTGCTCTGTTCTGTCCCTGTTGCCAGCTGGCCTTCCCGAGACTCTGTGACTGTGAAATTACCTCCCCACGTGATTGTTCTCGCAAACTTCGCGGCCGCAGGTGCCGGGGATGCACGAACAATGGTGTTAGAATTGTGGAAAAGAGAAACTCAAAGCCAAACGTGAGAGGAGAAACAAACAAAACATGAGTGTTTAAAAATACATCCCCATTCAGTTTGCCTTTGTGCTGGTGGGGTTTTCCTCTCGGTCTGGAAGTCAGCCACGCCGGGGGCCTCCGGCCGCCCTGGAGGGGGAGGGCCTGCCGGCCTCGCCCTGACCTGGGCCGGGCCCACACCAGGTGCCCCAGCTGCACCCCGGACGGCGGTGTTGGCCAGTCCAGGATGGTGAGACTGCGCCCTGGGCCCCCCCCCCCCCCC